TGCCACCACACCCGGCTGATTTTTGTATTTTTAGTAGAGACAGGGTTTCACCATGTTGGTCAGGCTGGTCTCGAACTCCTGACTCAGGTGATCCGCCTGCCTTGGCCTCCCAAAGTGCCGGCATTACAGGCGTGAGCCACCGTGCCCCGCCAAATCATCTCACTTTATACACTCGCCTGAAGGAGTCACGTTATCCCTATTTTGCAGATGAGCAGAGGTCTACAGAGCTCCTGAAATCCAGGCTGTCTGACCCCCAAATCGGAGCTTAGGTCCCTAAACTGCCTCTTCCCCACAAACAGCCTGGAGACCCTTAGGGTTGGAAGATAGGAGTGAATGGATGAACACAATGAATGAATATGTGTGTGTGTGTGTGTGTGTGTGTGTGTGTGTGTGTGTGTGGTGGGGGGTGCTGTGGATGCTGGAGAAGGGGGCATCAAAGCTGGATTGGGTTCAAGCCTTGCTCAGGTGTGGCCTCAGCCGGGGACTCCATATCACAATCCCAGGGAGCAGGCTTAAAGGAGGGAAAGGCTTGGGAAGGGACTGAGGAACACAAGACAGGTCCCTGGTTGGCCCCAGGACCGGCGCTGAGGCCCGGGTCCCGCCTCCGACCACGCCAGGAGCCACAGGCCGGTCCTTAGTTCATAGGCGCTTAACTCAGGATGGGTGACATTTTTGCTCCCCAGTTCCTGGCATCAGTGAGTGCTCCGTCAATGTTTGACAAACGGGTGACTCCACTGCCCCGCGCTGCGGGCGCACTAGACTTGGGGGGCGGCGTCCGGGTCGCGCTTAATCTTCTAGGCTCAGGACCCGCCGCGCAAGGGAACGCCCGGGGCGGGGTCGCCGGGGGGCGGGGCCTGGGGTGGGGCCTGCGGGCCGAGGGGGCGGGGCCGGCCGCGCCGGGGTCCTCCGTCAGCTCCCGGAGAGTTAGGGCTCCGAGCCGAGCGCGCGGAGCGGCCGGGGCCGGGGCGCGGATGCTGGAAGTTCACATCCCGTCGGTGGGGCCTGAGGCCGAGGGGCCCAGGCAGAACCCGGAGAAAGGCCACATGGTGAGCGCGGCCCCTGGATGGGGAGGGGCGCCGGTACCCGCAGGATTTGCCCGCGCTGCACTCAGTGGGGACCCGGAGCCCGGGCCCGGGTGAACGAGCGCTGCGGGCTGGACCGTCGGGGGAAACCTTGTCGAGGGTTTGGGGGCCGCTTGGATTTGCCAGCTTCGCGGACCGTGGTTCGAGCTCTTGAGGGACCCTAGGGCGCCGAGGGGAGGGTCCGTCAGCCCGTTCTTCCAGGTGTGCGGGAGCGAAGCGTCCCAGAGGAGCCGCGGTGCCGCAAGGCCGCTTTGTGTCTTTGAGCGCGGGAGGGTGGGCGCGTCGCCGGGCGCAGGTTCTGCTGTGTCCTCCCGCGGGGCCTCACGCGTACCCCCGCTGCCCGCCCGCGCCGCCAGGTGTTCCAAGTGGAGGTGCTGTGCAGCGGGCGCAGACACACGGTGCCGAGGCGCTACAGCGAGTTCCACGCGCTGCACAAGCGGGTGAGGCGGCGCCGACCTCCCACCGGGCCCGGCCCAGCCTCCGTCCAGCCCCTGTCCAGGCCCTGTGAGGCCGGCGGGCGAGCTCCAGCCCCAGCCTCCGCCACCCCTATTACTGCCTCAGTCCCTGCGAGGCCGGTCAGCCCCCGGGCGTCTGTGGGTGGGTTGGAGCCTTCCTCGCCCTCCGCCTGTCCACCACTCACCAGGGTCTGTCCCAGGGTACAGCCCGAAGGCGGGGGCGCGGGAGGGTTTCCGGCTGGGGCGAAGAGGGCTTGAGGGTTCAGTCGGGATGCTGTGATTGCACGCGGTAAACCTCCAGTAGATCAAGAAGCTGTACAAAGTGCCCGACTTCCCCTCGAAACGCCTGCCCAACTGGAGGACCAGAGGGTTGGAACAGCGCCGGCAGGGCTTGGAGGCCTACATCCAGGTATGCGAGGGCACACTTGGTTACCCCCCAGCCTGCTGTGCCAGGGGTGTGGCCCAGACAGAGAGGTGTGAGGGCATCGCAGGGAGGGAACCCACGACTTGGGGATGTTATTCACCACCTCAAGCATCAATCTTCTGAAGAGTAATATAAGTCCAAACACCCACCTCTGGATTGTTGAAAGGACTGAATGAGGTAATGGACACAGGTAGTCCCAGCTCCATGAAAGCCAGGTTCTGTCCCCTCCAGGGTGAGGTCCTGTGCTGCCCACCTGATGGGATGTAGGGTGAGGGTCCTTCCCCCAACAGCGAAGTTATGCCACATCATGGGGTACAACCTGTGCTGTACACAAGGTCCAGCGCTCAGAAGGGCCCCTGAGCCTGGTTCAATGCTCTGCTGTCATTGTCTTGAAATTCTTTTTTTGGAACAAAGAGCCCTGCGTTTTCATTGGCACTGTGCTATGCAAATTAGTAGCTGGGTCCGATTGCAAGTCTCCTCTGTCCTCTCCAGGGCATCCTGTACCTGAACCAGGAGGTGCCCAAGGAGTTACTGGAATTCCTGAGACTTCGGCACTTCCCCACAGATCCCAAGGCTAGCAACTGGGGGTAAGGGGGGCCGGTGGCGGGGGCCAGGGGCTGTCAGCAGTGAACAGGTGAGGAAAGGTGTTGGAGGGCAAGCCCTTTCGTCTCACATCTGCCGGGATCCAGCTTGACATGACCACCGTCACCAGCCTTCTTGACCTGGGTGGAGGGGCTTTTCTTTGGACAGCCTTGGTTACCCCAGCCACCTCCGGAACTGGGGCTTGTTACAAATAGAAGCAGTGGTCCCCTGGGAGGCGCAGTTCTGGGCTCTGGTGTCTCCACCCCTTCCTCACGCTCCCCGGGCATCCCCAGGCAGCTTACAGTGTTTCTCTTCTCTTCAGCGCCCTGGGGGAGTTCCTGCCTGGCGAGAGCAGGCAAGTCAAAGCCCTAGCCCGCGCCTGGCCCCTGCCGCCCCCTAGTGGCCATATGCTAGGAGGCGGGCCTGCTCGCTGGGCCTGTCTGGCCTAGGCCCTGAAGTCTGTTTTCCCTTTGGTGCCTCCTGAGCCCATTTCCCACTCATCTTTTCCTTCATGGGTCCCTGGTGATCTCAGCCCCGTCTCCACCCCTCTGTGGGACTCTGCCCTGCCTCCTGCACCCATGGTTCATGACCATGACCGTCTTTCCTCCCAGCTCCCAGCAGCACCAGCGGCCTGTCCTGAGCTTCCATATGGATCCCTATGTTTGCACCCCCTCCCCAGGTGAGGAGGTGCCTAGATACAGGGCTACAGGGGTAGGGTATGGGCTTGGCATTTCTCAGCTCCTGGGACCGTCAGGCAGCATCACCTTCCTGCTGCTCACCTCTGGAGCCACTACCTCCTGCTCCTGTTCCCTGGAGCCTGCTTTGTAGACACAAGGAAAACAAGTTTGGCTTCCCTGGTCTCCATTTCCTCAGCAACCTGACGACTTTACCAAGCTGATATGAACAGAATGTGACCTGGGAATGCTGAGGCTTCATTTGGGGTGGACAGCTGCTATCTGCTACCTTGGCAAGGGCTCCTACTCCCAAGTGGGGGCTGAGCCCATTAGCAGGAGCTCAAGGAGCTGCAGGCCTGAGGCCAGACCTGTTTAATTCTATCCCACAGAGCTGCTGCCCAACGTGGTGGTGAATGGTGTGCTCCAGGGCCTCTACAGCTTCAGCATCAGCCCAGATAAAGCCCAGCCAAAGGCAGCCTGTCACCCTGCTCCTCTGCCACCGATGCCCTGATCAGTCCAGAGGCCTTTGGCTGCCTCCTAAGAAAGTCATGTGCCTCTGTCCTATGAACTCCATATAAGGCTAGGTCCTCCCTTGGCCTGGACCCAGGACTTAACTACCCCGTGTCCAGTTGTGCCACATTCCCACTGAAGGCTCAGAACTTGGCTTGCATTGGTAGCTGGAGGTAGTAGAATCTGCATGCTCTTAGAGCCCAAGAACCAAGGCAGGATCAAGAAGATAAGTAATAAAGGAAGAAGTCAGCCAGGCGCGGTGGCTCACGCCGGTAATCCCAGCACTTTGGGGGGCCAAGGTGGGTGGATCACCTGAGGTCAGGAGTTCGAGACCAGCCTGACCACCATGGAGAAACCGCGTCTCTACTAAAAATACAAGATTAGCCAGGCGTTGTGGTGGTGCACGCCTATAATCCCAGCTACTCAGGAGGCTGAGGCAGAAGAATCGCTTGAACCCAGCAGGCAGAAGTCGTGGTGAGCCGAGATTGCGCCACTGCACTCCAGCCTGGACAACAAGAGCAAAACTCCGTCTCAAAAAATAAATAAATAAATAATAAAGGAAGAAGTCAGCTGGGTACAGAGGCTCATGCCTGTAATCCCAACACTTTGGAAGGCCAAGGCAGGAGGATGCTTGAGTCTGAAAGTTTCAGACAAGCCTGCACAAGTGAGACCGGTCTCTATGAAAAAAAAAAAAAGTCGGGCCGGGCGCGGTGGCTCAAGCCTGTAATCCCAGCACTTTGGGAGGCCGAGACGGGCGGATCACGAGGTCAGGAGATCGAGACCATCCTGGCTAACACGGTGAAACCCCGTCTCTACTAAAAATACAAAAAACTAGCCGGGCGAGGTGGCGGGCGCCTGTAGTCCCAGCTACTCCGGAGGCTGAGGCAGGAGAATGGCGTAAACCCGGGAGGCGGAGCTTGCAGTGAGCTGAGATCCGGCCACTGCAGTCCAGCCCGGGCTACAGAGCAAGACTCCGTCTCAAAAAAAAAAAAAAAAAAAAAGTCAATTTAGAGGTAGGCTATGAAAAAGTACAGGTATATTCCTTAACATAGACTGGAGGGTGGTGGCAAGGGGAGCAAATGTGGAGGCCCAGTAGCTGGCAAAGTTTAGAAGCAGGGGGCAAAAGCTCCTGCCTGACTTTTCCTGGGTAGCTCCTGGGTCAAAGTTTCAGGCAGGATCCCAGGGAGGGGCAGGCACAGCAGAGTCGCAGGCATGTTGGGATGTAGGCCTAGGGGAAGCGCTGCAGGCTCAAGAACCAGGCCCACACATTATATATATAAAAAAAAAAAAAAACCCACATTTTTTTTTTATTCGTCAGTGTTGGTAGGAGTCTGTTACAAAACTGAGTCCATGGGCCTGTGGAATGTGAGGGGAATGGGTCCGCTCCACCAGATGCCAGCACTGGGGCCAGTGCAGCTCAGGGCCCTGTGGCAGACTACAGGGCCTGCACAGATGGTCACTCAAAGAAAGAGGTCCCTGGGTCCTACTCCTTGGCAATGGCAAAGGGCTTCTCCACCTCGATCTTGCCGCAGTCTGCGATGATCACATCCTTCAGGGGCTTATCCCGGCTGTCTGTCTTGGTGCTCTCCACCTTCCGCACCACCTCCTGGAAAAGAAAGGTGGAAGTAGGAGGGCACGGTGGGTCAGGAGGGTCACCGCTCAGGAGAAAGACCCCAGCATATGACTCAGGAGGGCTGAGACCCACAAGTCATCAACAGCACACAAAACTGGAGGCACCAAAATTCTAACGGACTCCTGGCCAGAGCACAGAGAATGCAGATTTGACAAGGGGATGCAGGAATTGTATTCCTTTGAAGACCCAGGTTTGGCCAAGGGCAAGGAGGAGGAAGAGGGTGAGCAGGAAATGTGGCTTCTCAGGGACATTGTGTTCAGCTGCACTCTGTACACCTCAGGGGTGGGACCAGCACATTCCTGGGTGAATGAGGGGAGGGAGGCTCCGGCAGTTGTGCAGACTTAACAAGGCTTCCTGGCTGGGCTCTGAGGGGGCTGGAAGAATGTAGAACATTGGAGGCATGGAGGTACAGGGTTTAGTCTGGACAGGAGCACTGCGCCGCATCTGTGGGTTAGGTCCTTTTGGGAAAGGGATGGACACATGGAGCTCCTGCCCTGGGGTCTGTGTTGAATCCCCAGTGAGGACAGCCCAGTAGTAGCCCTTGCTTCCAGAACTCACCATGCCCTCTAGCACTTTGCCAAACACCACATGCTTGCCATCTAGCCAGGCCGTCTTGACTGTTGTGATGAAGAACTGGGAGCCGTTGGTGTCTTTGCCTGCGTTGGCCATGCTCACCCAGCCGGGCCCGTAGTGCTTCAGCTTGAAGTTCTCATCGGGGAAGCGCTCACCATAGATGCTCTTTCCTGGGAAAAAACAGCAGGTCGGGGGCACTGGATTGGGCCAAACCAAGCAGACATTCGGGGCCAGGACTGATGGGGCTTAACCTGTCCTCTGTGCCAGGCTGGGCTTGAGTGGAGTACAAGGACATAAAAGCTGCACCCTTGCTATCTTCTGGACTCAGAGCCAAGCCATGCTGACTGAGGCCAAGTGGGGCATCAGGCCAGGCTGATGTGGTGGACAGCTCACAGAAGGATCACTTCGAGAGGATAGTTTTGTGGCTTTTAAATAAAGTGCATGTTATCAGCTTCCCTTGGCTATGTGGCCCAGGCCTGCCACGGAGGGACTTTGGTGGAGGCAGGTGCTGTGCAGGATGCAGGGGCGTCAACAGGGTTGGAACTCTCCAGAAAAGGACTGCTGTGGCTGACCAGCCTGTTTTCCTATGAGCACAAAAGATACAGGCATAGCTGCAGAGGAGAAAGCAGCCAGAGATGGGTGGGGAGGGGCAGAAAAGAGGGGCTGCCCCTGGGGTTCTGAAGAGTCAAAGCCTCTTAACAAGGAATGAACAGGAATAAAGGACAGCTGTGAGTGTGTGTGATGCATCTGTCCACGTGGGGCTTGAGGATATGACAAGGGCAATCCGGGGTGATCTCTACGCCGTTTCGGAGATCCTAGTTCCAAAGCTGCTTCCAGAAGGAGCACTGAAACGCTTCTTTTTTCCTGTCACCCCTTGGAGACTGACACTGTGCCTTAGGCCCCAAGAAACTCGGCTGAAAATGGGGTCGTTTTCATTTTGTTTTATCTAACACTTTTCAAACGTATTTGCATGCAAAACCCTGTTTTCCTTCTCACTGCACCTACCTTCATCCTGTGGTTCCACAGAATGGAACTGAGCTGGGAAACTGTCCTACAGCAATGCCAACCAGGAAGATATTTCTGACTGGGCAGCAAGTAGGACGACTGAAAACCAAAAATGACCAGATTCTGGCTGGTGGGGACAGGGGTGCTTGTGCCTGTGCTCCACCTCTCACCCCCACGCTGAGGAGACTGAACTCTGCCACATGTGCAGTGAGTCCTGGCTGGAGTGCTGGCTAAAAGCCTCCCCCATTTGAGCCAACTGTGGGATTTTGATTGTAGTTGTTATCCAGAAAACCCCCAAATCTCCGTCCTTAGCTCCAACCACTCTCCCAAGATACAGGGGTTCCAAACCCAAATGGACATTTCTATTTAAACTCAACATACCTGTCATCTTTCTCTCCAGACCTCAGTTATTCTTTTGATCCCTTTTCCTCTGCACGTGGCTCAGGTTGTCCCTAGCCACTCCCCATGTACTTACTCTTTCTTTCCATTCCCGCGACCACCGCTGCAGTAGGCGAGTGCTTAGGGCGCTAACAGTGTGTGCCACAGACTGTTCCAAGCATCTTACATATTTAACAATCCATCGTATGAGGAGGAGCTAACTCCACTTCAAAGATGAAGAAACTGAGGCACAGAGAATAAAAGGAGCCCCAGCAAAGCAGCAGCAGAGCTAGAGTTCAGACCAAGGTGGTCTGCTCTCAGCCACCTCAGGGTCAGGCCCAAATCTCCCTGCCCAGGGTCAGCTGCACCAGCGCCCCCAGCAGCCTGCCTGCCCTGGCCTCCACATTCTGGATCTGCCACCACACGACTCCCCTGGCACCCCAAGCGAGGGGTCATCCTCTTATTCAGCTCCATGCCCCTGACTCCCTGCAGGCCAAAGCGCAGGCTGCAGGCCATCACCCACCTCTCTGCACTCCAGGTACAGATGCCCTCACCCCACCTTTGGCCAAACTCCTGCCACAGAACAGAACTGGGCTCATGCCCTAACCCCGCCTCTTTTCTGCCCATTCAAATTCTCCTCATTCAGGACCCCATTGAAATCTTCCCTCACATCCGCAAGGCCATTCCCTGTTCCCTGGCCTGAGAGGATTCCTCTGCTTGTCAGCACTTCAACAGTGGCTGACTTACTAAGCACTCACTGCATGCCAGACCTAGCCCAATCCTCATGGCCCCACAACTCTCTCCACCCTCACTGTACAGAACAGGAAACTGAAGCTCCAAGGACTCACTTGCCTGAGGTCACAAAACAAGAAAGTGGCAGACGCTGGATCCAGCCCAACTGCGTCTGACCCCACAAATACAGTTCTTCGGTCTCCTTTGTGAGCTCAAGTCCTAAATGCTGCATCATGGCCCACTTGTACATTTTCAGTTGTTGGAAGTAAAAGGGAACCACTGCCCCATAGGTCTTTACATCCTCAACCCCCACCACAGAGCCCCACAGACACTCATTGAGGAGTGAGCTGTGTTCTAAGGGTGCAGCAGGCTGTACCTGAGCTCAGTGAGACTCACGCAGGAGTCCGGGGATCTTTCTGTCCTCCTTGTGCAAGTTAATGCCGAGGTGAGGGTCGGCCCTCACAGAGTGGTCTCTGGTGAAAGACTGTCAAGGAAAGCAACTGCTCCCGCTCTTTTTTTTTTTTGAGATGGAGTCTCGCTCTGTCGCTCAGGCTGGAGTGCAGTGGCGCGGTCTCGGCTCACTGCAACCTCCACCTCCTGGGTTCAAGCAATTCTCCTGCCTCAGCCTTCACAGTAACTGGGATTACAGGTGCCTGCCACCACGCCCGGCTAATCTTTTGTATTTTTAGTAGAGATGGGGTTTCAACATGTTGGCCAGGCTGGTCTTGAACTCCTGGCCTCAAGTGATCCAGCCACCTTGGCCTCCCAAAGTGCTGGGATTACAGAGTCACCATGCCTGGCCCTCCCACTCTTGCTGGGGCTTCCAGGGTAGCCTGGACAGGCTTTGGGCACCTGACCTAGAATCACGTACCCACATGTCTTCACTTTGCTTCCACATGCCTCTCTCCCCAATCCCCATTCTGAAGAGGTATCGGGAAAGGTCACCAGGCTATAGGCCTGGATCAACAGGACAGCCACCTGGGAGAGATCCTCTTAGGTTTACCATCAGGTCCACCCCATTATTCCCTCTCCTTTGTACTGGGTTCCCTCTCCAAAGAAGGGTGCCGCTGGTCTCCAAGTAGGTAGGTAATAAGTAGGCCTGCCTCTAGAGCTGGGGAAGAAAGAGGCCTTGTCTCCCCGCCGTGGAGGCTACGCTGACATACTCCTTGGCCCAGAGGACCTGTGGTTACCTCCTGTGCCATCTCCCCTGGTGAAGTCTCCGCCCTGGATCATGAAGTCCTTGATTACACGATGGAATTTGCTGTTTTTGTAGCCAAATCCTTTCTAGAAAAAGGGAAGAGAAGGTAAGGAGGTGGTAAGGTGCAGCAGAAAGACATTACATTTAATAGGCCCCGAAGGAACAAGCCCACAACCCCTGCTCGGAGAAGAGACACCACTGCTGACCACTTTCACTGTTCAATGTGCTACTGAGTGAGCGGGCAGGCACCATAGGACAGGCATGGCACACACAGATGTGGAAATTCGTCTGCCTCCATACAATTCCCAGGCTTTATACAATTCTACATCGCATAACGCCTTTCCCCTCATTTCTTCCAATCATAAGAACAGATACAAGAAAACTGAGAAGAAAGGTCACCGGCTGGCTCAATGGAAAGTTAATATAAACTGAAATAGGGCACTGTTATTTCCTTAAAACCCATGACCCTCACCCTAGGTGAAGTCTTCCCAGGAAGCTCTGGACCCCTTACTCTTTTTTATCTTATTTTTAAAATTTATTATTATTTTTTTGAGACAGAGTTTCTCTCTTGTCGCCTAGGCTGGAGTGCAATGGCACAATTTCCGCTCACTGCAACCTCCGCCTCCCAGGTTCAAGCGATTCTCCAGCCTCAGCCTCCTGAGTAGCTGGGATTACAGACATGTGCCACCACAATGCTCAGCTAATTTCTGTATTTTCAGTAAAGATGAGGTTTCGCCATGTTGCCCAGGCTGCTCTTGAACTCCTGACCTCAGGTGATCCACCCTCCTCAGCCTCCCAAAGTGCTGGGATTACAGGTGTGAGTTACTGCACCCAGCCTTTTATTTAAAAAAATTTTTTTTTGAGACAGGGTCTCACTGTATTGCCCAGGCTGGAGTGCAGTGGCGTGATCATGGCTCACTGCAGCCTCCATTTCACTTCAGCCTCCTGAGTAGCTGTAGCTGGGACCACAGGTGCACCCCGTCACACCCAGCTAATTAAAAATAATTTTTTTTTGGCTGGGTACAGTGGCTCACACCTCTAATCCCAGCACTTTGGGAGGCCAAGGCAGGCCGATCACCTGAGGTCAGGAGTTCGAGACCAGCCTGGCCAACATGGTGAAACCCTGTCACTACTAAAAATACAAAATTAGCTAGGCGTGGTGGCCTGTAATTCCAGCTACTCGGGAGGCTGAGGCAGGAGAATCACTTGAACTCAGGAGGCGGAGGTTGCAATGAGCTGAGGCCGCACCATTGCACTCCAGCCTGGGCAACAAGAGTGAAACTCTGTCTCAAAAAAAAAAATTCTGGGGGGGTAGAGGCAGGGTCTTGCTCTGTTACCCAGGTTGGTCTTGAATTCCTGGGCTCAAGCAATCCTCCTACTTTGGCCTCCAAAAGTGCTTGGATTATAAGTGTGAGCCACTGTGCCTGGTCAGGGCCCCCTTACTCTTAAGAAAGGACAATACTGTGTTCCCAGGGCAACAGGCAGTCGGTGCTCAGTGAGGTCCACGCTACAGATGGGCTGAACTCTGCAGGTCAGTTTGCTGCCATCCCCACTGCCAGCTTCACTTCATTTGAGTTGACTACCCCTGCTCCAGCCACTTACCTCTCCTGTAGCTAAGGCCACAAAATTATCCACTGTTTTTGGAACAGTCTTTCCGAAGAGACCAAAGATCACCCGGCCTACATCTTCATCTCCAATTCGCAGGTCAAAATACACCTGAGGAAAGAGACCATTGCCAACTTAGCTTCTTTAAAGGGGCGTTGGTAGGGGAGGGAAGGTACAAGAAGCTACCCTGAGGATGGGAGAGAGAACAGAGCCATATTTTTAGAGAAGTGGTTCTGAATCTGATTTTGGTGAAGGTAAAAATCCTGGGAATCTAATGAAAGCTCCAGACCCTTTTCTTGGAAAACATGCTTATCAACACCCTCCTTGAACTACAGGATAACAACATTTGCTCTAAACAGCTAATGGACCCAGATTCTAAAAATTAACATTTAAAAACCCATAAGGAGGGGAGTCTAAGTTCACCACTTAAGTTTGAACTCTACATACTGTGCTTTGTAATTGGAAGTGGCTAAAATTTGGCTTAAGGAGAGAAAGGATTCGGATTCTGGCAGGCGTGATCTTTCACCATCTCCCCAGCACTGAGGGGTGTTTGCAAAAAGGCTGCCCTGAGGCTGCCAGTGCCAGCCCCAGATGAGTATCCGCGGATCCAACTAACTCCCTGGGTCAGGGCAGGGGCTCGGGGTGTCGGGGTGGGTCCGGGTCGTTCTCTGGACTGAATGGGCAGGACGGCCCAGACGCCACGAGGCCACAGACAGAAGCCGAGGGAGGAGGGGCTGAGCCAAGGCCAAGCCAAGGCCGCCCGGGCCCGAGCTCCGGCACCGTAAATGCCGCGGACTCCACCGGACCTTGACGGTGACTTTGGGCCCCTTCTTCTTCTCATCGGCCACAGAAGGTCCCGGCAGCAGCAGGAAGAAGACGGACCCCGCGATGAGGGCGGCGGCAAGGAGCACCTTCATGTTGCGTTCAGAGAGGCGCAGCATCCACAGGCGGTGGCAAGCGCGGCCCGGACAGCCGAGGCCGGAAGAGGGTGGGGCCGCGGCGGCTAGGGAGCCGGCGCCGCCACGCGCGGGTGGGGGGGGACTGGGGCTGCTCGCCGGCTCCGGGCGGGCGGCGGGCGCCGTTTTCCCCCTCCGGCTCGGCGCCGGATAGTAGGTCCCCCTGCGGGGCGGGCACCGACGCGGGCTCGTGGGTGGTTGCCACGTTATTGCTCCCTCATTGGGCTCCCGGCCGCCCTCTCCCACCCACAGGAAGGCCACCGGCGGAAGGCGGCCCCACAGAGCACGGACCCGGACTCCGAGAAGACCACAAGCCCCGGCATGCTCCGCGGCCCGCCTGTCCGCCCTGCCCGGAGCGCCGTTCCACTGGCCTGCGGTTGCTGGCGCTTGAGGTTAGCAAATACGTGGGCCTGGACCGGGGCACGGGACATTTGTCACTGTTTTGAGCCCGTCAAGTGTTTGTCACCGCCAGATTGGCTCTAAACGTTGTGGCTTCCAAACACTCCAGGGACATTTATTCTTACCGAGCGTGACCTTGTACGGCTCCTTCCACTTGTTTTGCAAAACTTGCTGCACAACCCACTTCCTTTTTTACTGAGGCCAAGTTACTACCCATTTTTCTCTCCCTTCTGTAATTTTGCTGTGCTTACTGATGTATGTATCAATGGACATCTTATTGTATACGCTGTTCTTAACTTCCTTTACCTATTTGTTTTCCCCAATAGACTACAATTTTTTTTCTGCGCAAGGGACTGTGTTGCATTTACTCTGTCCACAGCTCCCTCACAGCGCTGCAGTACGGAGTGTCCACCAAGTCCTGGTTGGGATAGCTTCACATCCGCACTGACATGAGAAATAATTTATGTCACGGCCTGAGGATACAATGCCTTTTTTTTTTTTTTTTTTTTTTTTTTTGAGATGGAGTCTCGCTCTGTCGCCCAGGCTGGAGTGCAGTGGCCGGATCTCAGTTCACTGCAACCTCCGCCCCCCCCGGTTCACGCCATTCTCCTGCCTCAGCCTCCTGAGTAGCTGGGACTACAGGCGCCCGCCACCTCGCCCGGCTAGTTTTTTGTATTTTTTAGTAGAGACGGGGTTTCACCGTGTTAGCCAGGATGGTCTTGATCTCCTGACCTCGTGATCCGCCCGTCTCGGCCTCCCAAAGTGCTGGGATTACATGCTTGAGCCACCGCGCCCGGCCTACAATGCCTTTTTTCCAGAGGTCAGGGATATTACTAGATGTCCCCACAGGGCTATTTTCGGTCTTCACACACTTACTGTTGTCCCACTCTACAACATAGATACTTCGGTACTGGGAGTCTTACACACCAAACAAACCAAAACACCAACTTCCAAAATTTGGACATATGGCGTTAAAACGTCTTTAAAACTAATTTTCAAAGATTAACTTCGTAGAAATTTCAGGTCGGCACAGCACAGATTATAGGCAGGGCTCCATTTCCATAAACTATGCAATGTAGTCTTCATGAGGCGCTGACCTGAGACTGACGTTATGCAAGGCCACTGGTATTAACTTTGTCCTTCATTACAGCGGCCATGCACAGGTTGTAGAGCTTCAAGTAGAGCTTCAAGACAATTCTCTTATTTCCCGTCCTCGCCCCTCAATTCAGACACCAATCAGGTGGAAGTTTTAAACGTTGTTATATTAACACAGATGATCTTCTAGATCCATCTCTCATCTCCTTTTTGTCGTATTTTGTTAAGCCTTTTTCCTCACTCGCTGGTCTCAGGCTGCCATAGCCAGAGAGAAATGTTTACTAAATCCTGTTTTCAAAGTAGCCTCCGGCTGGGCACAGTAGCTCATATCTGTAATCCCAGCACTTTGAGAGGCTGTGGCAGGCAGATGGCTGGAGTCCAGGAGTTTGAGCCTGGGCAACATGGGGAAACCTGTCTCTACAAAAAATACAAAAATTAGCAGGGCGTGGTGGTGCGCATCTGTAGTTGCAGCTACCCCAGAGGCTGAGGTTGGGGATCACCTGAGCCCAGGAGGTCAAGGCTGCAAGTGTACCGTGATCGTGCCACTGCACTCAAGCCTGTCTCAAAAACAAGGAAACACTCAAAAAACCCAAGTAGCCTCCTGCACACAAGGAGCTAAGGCTAAAATGGCATTACAGCAGCCTTTCTCCCATTCCCACTTTCACAAGAAATCAGGTTGATGGATAAAATGCTCTCAACGTGAAACTTTTCTCTCATGATTCTTCGGCTACTTGCCTGTGAAAAAGTAATTAAAGAGTAGTAACAAACTGGAAGGAGTCAGTCATGCCCAGATTGACAGTTGTTCTGTTGGCTACACATGCAGTATGGTTTTACATTGCTCATCACAGTTCTGTCTTCTGTCTGGACACATATTCCGCATTTGTAGAGCGGAATTATAAAGCTACTAAAAGTTGTTCCACAGAACAGATCCTGATTTCCTGTGTTCCACCACCTGAGAACAACAGGGACACAGGAACTAACATGTGAGTGATAATGTCCAAATTTTTCCAGGAATATTTATTTGAGACGGAGTCTTGCTCTGATGCCCATGCTGGAGTGCAGTGGTGTGATCTTGACTCACTGCAAACTCTACCTCCCTGGTTAAAGCAATTGGCCTGCCTCAGCCTCCTGAGTAGCTGGGATTATAGATGTGCACCACCATGCCCAACTAATTTTTGCATTTTTAGTAGAGACAGGGTTTCACCATGTTGGCCAGGCTGGTCTCAAACTCTTTTTTTTTTTTTTTTTAATTTTTTTTTATTTTTTTGAGACGGAGTCTCGCTCTGTCGCCCAGGCTGGAGTGCAGTGGCGCAATCTCGGCTCACTGCAAGCTCCGCCTCCCGGGTTCACGCCATTCTCCTACCTCAGCCTCCCAAGTAGCTGGGACTACAGGTGCCCGCCACTGCGCCCGGCTAATTTTTTTCTGTTTTTTAGTAGAGACGGGGTTTCACCATGGTCTCGATCTCCTGACCTTGTGATCCACCCGCCTCGGCCTCCCAAAGTGCTGGGATTACAGGCGTGAGCCACCGCGCCCGGCCGGTCTCAAACTCTTGACCTCAAGTGATCCACTCGCCTTGGCCTCCCAGAGTGCTGGGATTACAGGCGTGAGCCACCGTGCCCAGCCAATATTTTTTTTTTTTAATTAAAAAATAATTTTCTTCTTCAGCACTTGACGATACACAGCAATATTTATTTTTGAAGTGACTCAAGGGAGAAGACAATGTTTAGTCCAAGGAATGAAACAAGAATGCCAAATTATCAGGCATTTATTTTTGTTCACAGGAGACTTGAATCGCATCAAAGTGAGTCCTAGCTAGATTGTTAATTACAAATGAGCCGAGGGAGATTAAAAACAGACAAACCAGGCCGGGCGCGGTGGCTCACGCCTGTAATCCCAACACTTTGGGAAGGCTGAGGCAGGCGGATCACGAGATCAGGAGATCGAGACCATCCTGGCTAACACAGTGAAACCCCATCTCTACTAAAAATGCAAAAAATTAGCCGGGCGTGGCGACGGGTGCCTGTAGTCCCAGCTACTTGGGAGGCTGAGGCAGGAGAATGGCATGAATCCAGGAGATGGAGCTTGCAGTGAGCCGAGGTCGCGCCACTGCACTCCAGCCTGGGTGACTGAGCGAGACTCTGTCTCAAAAAACAAAACAAAACAAAACAAAAAAACCCAAACCAATCAACCAACCAAACAAGCAGAAGTAGCCAAGAAAGGTAAGACATTTTATTTTACATACAAAAAGGGTGCAAACTGAGTCCTTTCCTCCCCAAACTGGGGAAGAGGTATACTTAAATATCACATTTGTGTTTTCCATGGTGCCCTAGGAAATGGGCTACTCTGAGATAACATATCAGAACCCATTTTCCATTTTCTCCAAAGGCTACTTCCTCTGCAGAGAAGATTTTCCTAATGGTGCACAAGTATCTCTCCTGCAGGAACCATTTGAAATACACTTGAAATTGACATTCATGTTTAAAAATACTACAAATTTCATTTTCACAGCTGAGCTTTGTGACCAGTGCCAGGGTTTATGAAACATTATACATCTAAAAAAAAAAAAAAAAAGTAAAAAAAGAGGCATTTAACAATAATCAGACACATCCACACATTAAAACTGATTTCCACAGCTGATTTATACATTATCAAGTTGTTTAAAAATCGCAATCAACATCCCAACATCTTTTTAAGAGTACAATGGGCAAAGATCAAAGACAAATAATAATATAATAAATTAGAGCATGTAATACATCCGATGGGAATTGCTGAATCAACATTATTTTCCATTGGGGGAATATATTTTTGGTTTATCTTTATCTTTTCTGCTGTTATTTTTCTCTGCTTGATAAATAGGGCTCATTCCTAAAGCCAGCTTGCTGAGACACTAATTTCAGAAGCTCACTTGTCACTTGTTTACCTCTGAGAATACTCAGGAACACATGGTTCCGAGCAGCTTGGGCTGGATCTTTATGGAAGTGAAATGCACATAGATGAACGCACGCACTCAACGTGCGCATACACACCACACACACACAGACACGCAATCACACACTTCCATCTGTAAATACATTTCTCCCCAAAGAAATGGCTCATCTTTCCTGAGACATTCCTAATAGACTGATAAGCCTTCTAAAAAAGGCTTTTGGTGCAAGGGCCGGCCTGGGATTTGGTCTGGAGCTCATGAACTGAAAATGTTTCACCTGTACTGAAAGAAGGGTGGGTGGGGACATTCAGAACAGCTGTCCTCTTGTGGGTGTTACTGGAATGGCTGCACTGCACCCCCACTTATTACTGTGAATAATCCTCTGCTCTGAGACCTTATAGGTGGTGATGGCACCAGGAAAGTGATTGTGAGGAGTAAAAGAAGAAAAATAAAAAGAAATTCTGTCTACAGAACTGAGGTTTCTTTGTAACATCAAGTTTGGTAATCAAACTAGAAATACAGGGAATACATGTTCACTTCTTCCTTTGAAAGGTGATTTACAAATACTGGAAGTGGGTTTTCTGGTTGTGTTTTGAGAAAATGTCAACTACCATTGTGTATTATCCAGGGAACCTACTCACTATTTCGAATACAATGAGAAACCTATTTTTTTTTTTTGTACTTAGTCACCTGCAAAAGCAGTTAGGAAAAACATTTTTAAGACTGCTTGTTGGATAGAAGACTTTCAAGATTCCTTACTTGTGGCTAAAACACTGCTCAAAACTTTATAAACCCACGTTAAGGGCCATGGTTGCCTCTTTTTCTTATTCAGAAACAAAATCACCCCCATACACCAAAAAACAAACTGAAAAAAACAAAAAACACCAAAACCCCAAGCCAAAGGCATCCCTGTTTGATTCCTATCAACCCCTCATGGGAAAGACTAGGAGTCTCTGCCATCGACCTCTAGATAGGACTTCCCTGCAGTCTGCAAAAGCAAGAACCCGAGAGATAAGTGCCTGTCACTCTCGTGGCCAATTCAGATGGGGTGCCTAATTGTCCTGGCATCCCTGAGGGTTTCTAGAATTCATCTGCCCACCATAGGGCAATAGTGGGGATGGTGGCAGTGGTGTGGCAAAGGCAATGTTGGCTGTATGGTGTTGCAGGCTCCCAATCTGAGAAACGAACCCTAATACGGTTCTGACACTGGAGACAGTGTTGTTAGGGCAACTCAATGGGAATGGAGAGCTGGTTTAAATGTGAAAATGGAAGAGGTGGCTGGGACACAGGAGGCATGTGGGCTTGGGAGATGCATCAAACCAAAGTTCCTCTGAGAAGACGTTTTCTTGGCTGCCATGGAAGTTCTCATTTTTGAGAAATGCAAGCCATGGTTGCTCACTGGGAGGAGGAATGGATTTTATCTTTTACATAAAAAAGTTAAGGCTATAATCTTTTTTTTTTTTTTTTTTTTTTTTTTTTTTTGAGACGGAGCCTTGCTCTGTCACCCAGGCTAGAGTGCAGTGGCGAGATCTCAGCTCACTGCAAGCTCCACCTCCCGGGTTCACGCCATTCTCCTGCCTCAGCCTCCTGAGTAGCTGGGACTACAGGCGCCTGCCACCTCGCCCGGCTAATTTTTTTTTTTTTTTTTTTTTTTTGTATTTTTAGTAGAGACGGGGTTTTGGGGTTTCAATGTGTTAGCCAAGATGATCTCGATCTCCTGACCTCGTGATCTGTCCGCCTCAGCCTCCCAAAGTGCTGGGATTACAGGCCTGAGCCACTGCGCCCGGCCAAGGCTATAATCTTTAGTAACCACTTTGACATTACATTATCATTGTTACGTATTTCTGGCACTGAAAGTGGTTACTAGCACTGAAAATAAACACTGAATATGCACTACCAGCATATCTTTCCACTGAACTACGTTTGGAAATTACTTTAGGGGTGATGGTCACCTTTACTGGCTAATAGGCAGGGACTGTTTTCTAAGTACTTGGAGTTCATTTAGAAAAAAGAAACAATCAACACTTGTAGAAACCTCAGGATCTCTGCTGTCATCTGTAGCTCATGCATTCCAATGTAAAATGGGATTTTAACTGGAAGCTAACCTTGTACCTTCCTAGACCCTGTTTATTGCCAGACAGGCCCCATAATAGCAGAAGAATGTTAAGGCAGTCATGAGTGCAAACTGGCTGTCTGGATGCTCTCTCCACCCTTGGGGGCAGTCTGGAGTGAGATCTGGGGAAAGCGCCAAGGTGCACAGAGCAACTTGACCAACTCTTACTGCAAAGACACAAGTGATACCCTGGTCAAAAGGGAGTAGGGGGGACCATTTATGCCTTGGTGGAGTCTTGGCCTGTGTGCCTCAATCTGTTTAGGATGCAATGTCTGAGGGACTGTAGAGCTTGGGAAAACTCCTAATGTATAATATTAAGGGTTTTTTTTTTAAATTTTTTTTTTTGAGACGGAGTCTCGCTCTGTCGCCCAGGCTGGAGTGCAGTGGCGCAATCTCGGCTCACTGCAAGCTCCGCCTCCCGGGTTCACGCCATTCTCCTACCTCAGCCTCCCGAGTAGCTGGGACTACAGGCGCCCGCCACTGCGCCCGGCTAATTTTTTTCTATTTTTTAGTAGAGACGGGGTTTCACCATGGTCTCGATCTCCTGACCTTGTGATCCGCCCGCCTCGGCCTCCCAAAGTGCTGGGATTACAGGCGTGAGCCACCGCGCCCGGCCTAAGGGTTTTTATGAACAGATGCTAAGTTAGTTTTCAGGAAAAACAATTGCATCAATCCCAAAGAAAAAGATCCTGAGGCACCATAGTCGTGAAATGGAGAAAGCTCAGAAACTACAGAGCAAGTGGATGGGTGGGGACAGTCAGCAAGTGCATGCCCTAACCCCAAGGATCTCGCTGAGGCACACAGCTAAGCAACTGTAGCAATAGGGCCGAGGAGGGAGCCCTGATTTGCTGAGGGCTGAAGCAATGGCCAATTGCATCTAGGGTACTCAGCTTTTTTGCTTAATTTTAAGGAAGATCACATCAGAATCTCCCAAGTCTGGGACCACTTTGAAGTGCCAATGGCCCTGAAGGGATCACCATTACCCTGCATGCTAAAGGGACCTGGGATTCTTTACCTTTGCTATGAAAACCAAGTATCTAGTAAGAGATTTGTGGAGGTTGGAAGGTGAGAACAGTATATTAGGAAGGATACTCCCCTACAACTGATCCAGTAAAAATTTTAAGACCAAAAAAAAGTCGCAAATCCAGCTGCAAGGAAGCTTGCCCTGCAGCCAAGCTGGTCACTGCCTTTGCTTTTGTGTGTGTGGAAGCAGGGTGAGGGGCTGAAGGGAGGCACTCAGGAGGGTATAGAGTGCCAGGATGCTCCAGGCATTGCCAACATTTCCCTCTGCCCTTTTCTTTTTTTTTTTTTAAGACAGAGTCTCACTCTGTTGCCCAGGCTGGAGTGCAGTGGCGCGATCTTGGCTCACTGCAACTTCTGCCTCCCAGGCTCAAGTGATTCTCCTCCCTCAGCCTCCCGAGTAGCTGGGACTACGGGTGCATGCCACCACGCCCAACTAATTTTTGTATTTTTTGTAGAGATGGGGTTTCACCACGTTGGCCAGGCCGGTCTCGAACTCCTGACCTCACGTGATCCACTCGCCTCAGCCTCCCAAAGCACTGGGATTACAGGCATGAGCCACTGCGCCTGGCCCCCCTCTGCCCTCTCTTGAGAGGCAAGGCATTTTCTATACAGGGGTGAGGAAAAGTTAAACTTTCCATACAGTAAGTTAGCATTGCCGAAATCCCAACTGAGAAATGATGTAAATCTTAGTGACATGGCTGTAACCACTAGGTAATGGCAAGGACATAAATCCCAATATTCACAGTCCTTGTGGGGAAGGGGTGTGATACTGCATCTCCCTGCCACTCTATGTTCCATATATAGAAACATTTATAGAAATGACATATTACCATCTTTCCATAAGCTAAGCAGGTTTGATGCAAGTGAAATGATATTCCCTAGCCAAGATCCAAAGGAACAGATGAAGCCCAGTACCTCTGATACTGTTAATGCTATTTCTGCTCTGTGCAAGGTACATCAAGGGAATTTTTCAAGAAATGGCAACTACCAGAAAATATCCCCACACCTTCCAGTCCAAAAGATAGCCCTACACCTCAAGCTAGAGGCGAAGACTTCTATGCTCCACAAACCATCAGACTAAGTCACCCACCAGCCACTGTGCTCCATGGTTAGCTCTCTACTCCCAGATACAAGACCTCTTTCCTGATGTAAATGACCCTTTCTCTTCTGTCACCTCTGGAATGGGCAGTCATTGTTTGGTTAAGCTACTAAACTCAAATGAAAATTTGGTATGAGAAGAGTAACTTCCCACATGAAAGACTTGTCAAACAGTGAATGAGGAACCAAGATCCTTCACAGTAGTACCTCCTATGAAAACACCACGGGGGGAGGCCGAGGGCATACTGGGGAAAACATGCTTAGAGGCATGGCCACCTTTCTGGAAGGAGTCTATGTCCAGTTGAGAAGATAATTTCAGACCTTTCACTCCAGTTTCCTTTTCCCTGGAATATTCCAGCACCAATCAATCTTTCCCTCCTTTTAAATGCAGCCCCATATACTGCATCCTAAGCCTACTGCTATGGACCTGCTGGGAGAAGATCTTCATAAGCTTGGTTTCTGATAAGGCAGGCCAGCCCAAATGCTACAGCTCAGCTATTGGGGGAGATAGGATACACTGATTTTCTTTTCCTGGCCCTATAATGCCACACCCCGAGGTCCCTCTGGCAGGTGGAAGGTAGGTTCACTGTCCTCCTCTTTTTTTCCACTAATGGCAATATGGTGGTGGCTGTTTCATCATTAATTTGTCCCCCAAGTCACCAGGAAATCACATGGCTATCTAGTTGGAAGTCCCTGGCAGCAGAGGAAACAATTTCATTATTATTATTTTTTTTTTGTTAAGCATCTCCTTCTCTGGGATGAGCTGTTTCCTGGTCACAGTCTGGTTCGGCTGGCTCATCTCATGTGCTGGAGAGCTAGGTTTTCAAACTGTAAGCTGATTAGGTCAAGATGCTCTGGTAGGGACATTCTTCAGCTGCTGAGAAGATGAATGAAAATTCAAGTATGTTTTCTTGCCAACCTGAGTGTTCACTCAGAATGACACCGAGTTTGGCTTCTCTTCTGGGTGGTGCAGATCAAACTCTTTCCACTGAGAATGTCCTCTGGACCCATGTTCTCTCTGAATGGCTTGGCTGGCCCCATCCCCCTCAAAACAGGTAAAAGTGAAACCCCCAATATAACCAGACACAATATGCATCTGCCATGTTTTTGTTTTTGTTTTTTTTAAAAAAACTAAAAGTGCAACAAAGTCAGTTTTCTTTCCTTTGCTCAGAACAATTTTCATTGTCCTACTACCGCCTGGAAAAAAGAGTTTGTCAAAAAAGCTAAGAACGCCAACACACAGGGACAGTAGACTGCAGATTGCTCACAGCTTGTGTCCTACAGTGTAACTTCACAGGAGGGAGGGAAGAAGGAACCTGAACCCCATGGCCAGCTGGGATGAATGCTGCACAGGCACAGAGGAAGAGGAAACCATACTGCCAGGCACACCTGGGACACGGAGAAGGTTCTTCTCCAGCCCAGGTCTCCATTTTCCTCCTACCTTCTTGGCCTTACCCCCAGCCTCTTGATCTCCTTCTGCAAATAAAGTCTTTAGCTCACTAGGTTTTATGCTGGAGAGGGTTGAGGGTGGGGTAGAAACCAGGAGTAAACTAAGGGGAGGAAGGAGAATAGTAGTCCTTGAGTTTTTGTGAATGACACCTTCACTGTAAACAATGGGAAGGAGAGTCAACCAGGCAGCCCTATGGGCAAGCAGTGGAGGAACAGCAGCTCTGGGACCTGCTCAGAGCCTTAGGCAGGCGAGGATGGCCAATGACCCACTAGGCCCTGGCTGCCCACACTGGCTCCTTCTGGGGGCATCTGTTTTCTTCTTTTTGGTTTGGATATCCACCCTCCCCCAAAGAGGAGTCCCTTCCAGTGAGAAATGGCAGGAGCTGCAGGTACAATTGAGTCAGAGTCCCCAGGGCCTGAGGACTCCTGGGAGGCACTGGTCACTTGTGGCGCTGAGCAGTCTTCTTCCTTTTCCTCTTAAAGAAACAGCAGCACCTGGAGCACAAGGAACATTGCAAGTCAGTGCGGGAGGCCTGCAGCTTCCAGCAGACTTCTGCCTGCTTCTGCTTACTGAAGGGGGTGGAATTTTCCCCCTGGCACCCACCCATAGGGACCGCCCACCATCTACAGTGCACGCACTGGAGGCAGTGGGCAGTGTCTGCCAGAAAAGCCAAAGGAAATAGCTGCTTGATTTCAATCTGCAGTCATCCTACCTAATTATAAGATGGTGCAGGCTAGGCAGGGCTGAAATAGGCATTACTGGAAGGAGGATGAAGAAGGTTCATACTTTAGCACCCAACCCAGATGCCTCACCTTATCAAGAGCCAAGACTGGGGATCCTCAGGGCTGCATAAAAATAGTCTACATTGTCTACTCCTTGATACTGAGGGCACAATTATTTAATGCAACTCACTGGCCAGAGGGCAGGGAGGCTAAATTAAGGCAAACAAATCCCGTGATAAGTATGATGTCTGGAACTCTAGGAGGATCTCAGGATGTTACCAATGAAGGATTAGGGATTCTCTCCATCCCCCTCTCTGCCCTCACCCAAGTACCTGAAGTAGGCAGGAGAGGCCCTGACTTTAATAATGACTGTGAGCCACATCTCCTGACTGACATCAGTACAGCTCCCCCTTTTCATTTGGAGGGGCCCACTGTCACAGCCCAAGAGCTGACCATCGGGATGCTCTCACTCCCCAATTTAGGGAGTGAGATACAGGGCACTCCCCAGTTTAGCTTCCTGAGATTGCTGCTGTGCCAGATGGGGTTTATGAACTGGCCCTGTTTAGGATGGAGTTGGGGTTGGCTCCTTTATGAGTCCTCCAAGTTCTGCTCCCTGGGGACTAGCCACAGTTCTGGCACATCCCTAAGTCTGAGTATCCACCCTCCTCACTCCTGTCTTTAGAACAGGAAGTATCACTCTTGCTCAGGCAGTCCAGAAGCGGGTAATGAGTACTGTGGCAAGGTGCACAAGATATGTCCTTTCCAGGGAGCTGACACATGGGGAATGAGAATGAAAGGGACAGAAGGTGGTGGATGAGTCAAAGATGCAGAATGATGGAGGGCAGTAAAGTTGGAAGCATAGCTCAGACTTGCTAGACCCTTGAAAGAAAAGCTTTTCTGAGAAAACTATCTTTGAGTCTCTTGCCTAATCATTGCAGGTGTAATGCCAGCAATATTCATATGGAAATAAAGGCTGTTACTTACTTCCCATACCCCTAGGCATTTCACTGTAGCCAAGATCCCCTCTTTTTAGTTAGACTCCTTGGTATTCCTACATCCAATGTTATCAAAAACTGGAGAAAGTTTCTAAGAATGCAGAAACAAACATTTACACAGACCATGATGGGCTGTAATCATATCTGAATGAATCAAACATGAACATTTTAGAAATAGGAGATTTTTCTTTTTTTTTTTTTTGAGACAGAGTCTTGCACTGTTGCCCAGGCTAGAGTGCAGTGGCACGACCTCGGCTCACTGCAAGCTCCACCTCCTGGGTTCATGCCATTCTTCTGCCTCAGCCTCCCGAGTAGCTGGGACTACAGGCGCCCGCCACCACGCCCGGCTAATTTTTTGTACTTTTAGTAGAGACGGGGTTTCACCGTGTTAGCCAGGATGGTCTTGATCTCCTGACCTCATGATTCACCCGCCTTGGCCTCCCAGAGTGCTGGGATTACAGGCATGAGCCACCACGCCCGGCCTGAAATAGGAGATTCTTAAGAGGGTCTTTGGAAAGATTTTCTCTGAAAGTATCAATGACATTTGTGAAGTACTACTAATGGGTGCAAATATAATCACTAAGCAAAGTGTAATATGTATTTGGAAACTAAATTCTTTTAAATAAAAGTGACCAACATTTTTGATTGTTAAAAATAATCCTCAATGGAAACCCTGGATAAGAATTCAAGAACAAATGTTTTTTTTTTTCTTTTCTTTTCTTTTTTTTTTTTTTTTTTGAGACGGAGTCTCGCTCTGTCGCCCAGGCTAGAGTGCAGTGGCCGGATCTCAGCTCACTGCAAGTTCCGCCTCCCAGGTTTACGCCATTCTACTGCCTCAGCCTCCCGAGCAGCTGGGACTACAGGTGTTGCCACTATGCCTGGCTAATTTTTTGTATTTTTAGTAGAGACGGGGTTTCACCGTGTTAGCCAGGATGCTCTCCATCTCCTGACCTCGTGGGTCCGCCCGTCTCGGCCTCCCAAAGTGCTGGGATTACAGGCTTGAGTCACCGCGCCTGGCCTCTTTTTTTTTTTTTTGAGACTGAGTTTCACTCTGTCACCCAGGCTGGAATACAGTGGCGCTCACTGCAACCTCCACCTACTGGGTTCAAGTGATTCTCCTGCCTCAGCCTCCTGAATTGCTGGGATTACAGGTGCCCACAGCATGCCCGGCTAATTTTTGTATTTTTAATAGAGACGGGGTTTCACCATGTTGGCTGGGCTGGTCTCGAACTCCTGACCTCAAATGATCCACCTGCCTCGGCCTCCCAAAGTGCTGGGATTACAGGTGTAAGCCACTATGCCTGGCCCAAATGGCGTTTTTCTATATGTGTGCTTTAGAAATGGACATTTTCCAAGTTGAATGTCCTGAAATTAATAATAAAAGAGGCAAATTAAATCTCTATTTCAATAGACTTACCTCTTTTCTTCTGAACCATGATTTTCAGAGGCATTACTAACTTTTAAGTCAACCTCTATTCTTAATCTTTTTGGAGGATGCAAAGATGATGATTTTGTGTTTTTAAGAAAGCAATAAAAAAAGTTTAAAATACTGCTGAGGTCCATTTCAAACTGTACAATGACTTCTCTTTTACCTCCTCCAAGGCAAGCCATAAGAATTAATGTCTGCTTACAAGCGTATCATAACTGGATGTGTAATGCTGAACCCACCTGACTAAAAGGGAGTGTGAGCTATGGTTCAAAGGAGTTGGAATATTTCAAATTTAGAACCCTGGATTTATCTTTGCTAGTTATTGTAGTTAAAGCTTCAGCAGTGGCAAAGGCTTTTAATGATTCTACCTACAAAAAAGCAGGCCTCACAATCTGCTCTTCAGCTCTTTGGTGTCTGTGGTGACTACTGGCAACAGGATCTATTAAACTGGGTCTGACTCTAGACCAAGTCCACTGACTCACTTTCAGATGTGTTCCTCTCAGAAGAGAATGAAGGCAGATGATGGACCCCTCATGGCTTAGGTTTTCTTCCAGCTGATTGACTGTTTAGATGACTAGAAGTTCTCAACATGCTGGAGTCAAAATCGATCCAAATCTCCCTACTCTCAAGCCATCTAGTGCTCTTACCCCAGGCCTCTGACCCACTACCTTTTCCATACAGCATTCTTACTATGTCATGGCCCTCTCTCTTCAGCTATTCCCTTGCTATGTTCCTCTTCTCTGCCATACGTGTATATTCTTCCTTTCTTCTAATACTTGACTCAAGTCCTACAGTGTTTACAAGGACTTATTTGACTATCCTGTCCATGGTGACTTCCTGGCCCCTCAGTCTCTCAAGGGCAATAATCTAAATGTCCTGGAAAACTCCTTGTCCTTTCATGTGTAATTCTGATCTCTTCAGCTAGATGGTACCCAAGCTCTTTGGGGCAAATTTTGCAACCCGCCCCGCCACCCCGCTAGAGTTCCAAGCACAGGGTTGGATAAGCATATAGGAGGCCCTCAAGTATCTGCAGTAAGGATCATGTGACTGACACCTCACAGGAAAAAAAAGACCACCACAATGTCAGATTACACAGACACATATTTGCAAAACAAATAGCCAAAGGTATTCTTTGATCCCCTAAGACTATAAATCTGACCTCCACAAAACCCAGTAGTTTTCTTTAATATATTCCTGTCTCTAAGGAAGCCCCTGTAGGCAATCTGGCTTAGACAGTTAGGGTTCAGAAACCAGTGCCCAACCCAGTCACTGAAGACACACAAACATGGCAGTCATGAAACTAGTAGGCTGTTACCTCCATGTAGAACATGACTTTATGCATGCGGACAATGCAGGAGAGTTACAATTCCAGACTGCAACAGACCAACAAGTTCAGGAGTACGTGGAAGGTCATAGGCTAGAGAGCAGGGGAAGGGGCTATGTCTTGTAGCAAGAGTGTTCCTCACCACACATGGATTCTTGAGGGCTTCTCCTTCCATAAACTCCATGTTATTCCTAAAAATACATTCCAGGAACCTTTTCCAGGAATGGAACAGACAGGCTCCAATATATCAATTAGCTGAGTCAGCCCTTGGCCTACTAAACTCTCACATAGGAATAAAGAAAAAGACAATAAACAAAAACAAAACAACTCTCAAAACAACAACAAAACATCCACCTCTCCCTGAAGGAGTTCCCCCTTTTTTGAGGTTCCTACTCTACAGATGGAAGAGCCAGCTGAATCAAAAAAAGTCAGATTTTCCCAAAGCAGCCAATTTCCAGGTTAGAGACCACACTGCAGAATGTGAGATTATCCAGCAACAACTCACTATCCTTGTGGCTGTGAGCAAACACAACTGCTAAGTAAAAACTGATACAGTAATCTTGCCCTTTTACCTCTGTCCCTCTCCATATCTGGTTGTATTAATTTGGGAGAAAATTCACTCAGCTAAAAACAGATAATTTTGGATATGTGGGATACTGTTATGGCAGGAGGAGACAGCGATAAGGTGGGTTTGAAAGAAGGAATAGATTAATTCCTGGGTACAGGCCTGCCCCATCCCCACCTTATGGATCTAGATCCCCAGTCAGGGTGGTTATGGCACAAGGAGTCCTATGGAAGTTATTTAATGCTCCTAAGACATTTTGTTTGGCTTTGCCAATCCCAGCCTAGTCTGGTCCACTCCCCTTGCAATGGACTGGAGAGAGGGACTCACCACAGGTTGAGCATTTTCAGGCAGCTACAGAGTATATAAAGAGAAAAACACAGAAAGGAAGAGAGAGAAAGAGAGAGATATTAGTTCACAGAGGTGAAATGGAAGCGACTCCCTGTGAGCCATGCAAACATGCAGTATGTGTCTGTGTTTAGTTTCTTCTTCTGTCAAGGTAGGGTGAGTAGGCCCAGGCCACTTGGTCCCCACGTTAAAGTGGAGGTTCGGACAGGAGCCTGACAGAAGCATCAAGGTGGGATTTGGATCTCAGGGGTAAGGCAAAATAGAAAGAGTTGGTGGGAGCTCCAGGGTGGGCTTTCCTGGGTAACTTCCAGGAAGGCAGCAGGGGAAAGAGCAAATGACCCTGCCGGTAAGAACTCAATCAAGCACCAGGGGTGGACCATTTTGGTTCCCACATAAAAGTCTCACTGTGCAATATTAAGCTAGCCTCCCAAATATTCTGAGGGAAAAATAAAATCCCTAGCTTTTGTACAAGTCCAACATGCCTGATCAAAGCAGCTAGCAGTTAGCTCTTCCTCTAGAGAGGGAGAAAAGGTTTAAGTGACACTTACTTTATCTTATTAGAAGATGAATCAGAGGGAGGAGGGTCACTGCTCTGTATTAAGGTATAACTACCAGAGAAGGACCTAAATTCTACTCTTGTTAATGCTCAGGAGAAATGAGGTTCACATTTGTTAAATTATAGCTAAAGTCTGGATAACCAAAAATTCCTGTATTCTTACTGTAACAAAAATCAACCAAAAAGCTGCCTGTCCTCATCCACCCTTTAAACCATAAACAAGGACATAAGTCCCGGAGCTAGAGAAAAAGGGAATTCACATGTTCATTTTGTACATAGAACAAAACCTAAGACCCTGTTATTTCTTTCGACCTTTACACTAAACAAGCTGGGTGAGGAACCCAAAATCAAAAGCCTGAAAGTGAAGGTTTCACACAGTCTCCCCAGTACTGAGGTGCGTCTCAATATAAGCATCAGCCCCCTCTACCCCACAAGCAGGCTGCATGAACAAATGGCATCACAGCTGCGTGCAATGAGGGGCTGTTTGGAACACCTCGTGCTTCTCTAGCTGTGACTTCTTCCCATGAAAATGATCAACCAGGTGGACATGGGGCTACCCTTTCCTTGCCTCCACACACAAAGGCCAAGAAAAACAACACATGGCTGGGCCCTGACAGTTCTCTGGGCAAGATGGATTGGTAGCCCATGAAATCACTAAATGCCCTACGCCATGAGCTTTGGGATGACATCTGGTCAAATATAATTGCTCCTCTATGCTTTCTACATCTTTTAGAAGATCCAAACCTGAAGCTGGTGGCAAAGAGGCACACTTGTCCTTTTCGCTAAATGACAAGACTTTAAACTCTCCTTACATCCTAGATTTTAAATTATACCAATACAGAATACACCAGATTGAAATCTCTGTGTGAATGAGCCCATATCTTACACACAGAACACAAATACCACACTCACATACACAATTAGTATACACATTTACCAAAATGAGATGAGATGAATGGGTTCAAAAGATAAACCTATATAGGGCATAACATAAAACTAAAGCCCATTTGATTACTGCATTCAAAGTATACTATTAAATCCAAAGTTAAACTTCTAGCCTTCAAAGTAACAGCCACAAAGGTGAATTGAGAATGGGGTGGGAGCTGGGAAAAGGTACGGCCATCCTTTAAGCTCTGACAATGTTTGGATCAGACCATGCTTAGTACAGTGGTTCTGAACATTGGCTACACGTTAGAATGACCTGAACTTTTAACATTATTGATGCTCAGGCCACATTTCAATCAATTAAATCAGAATGCCTGAGGCCAGACTCAGACATCTGTATTTTCTAACATGCCCCAGATGACTCCAAAGTGTAGCCAGTTGAGAGCCAAGAGGTTGGGAGTAACATATTGTTTATTTAAGAGAATGTAGCTTTGTATGGAAATCGAAAAAATGTAAGTACTATTAATATCTCCAAAGTCCCTGAGAATAGAGAGCATGTTTCCTTACTAAAATGGTCTTTTCCTGGCATAACCAGCATAACCCTCACCCCCTTACATATCAGTGCCTTACGCAAGCTGGGAGAAGAGCTCTGAAGCTGCCCATAGTTAGCAGGGGCTCAACAAGAGACAGTCAAATCATCCATATTTACTTTTGATATATTGGGTAGGAATCCTTAAGTCCTGGTTTTCTAAGCAAAAACTTTTTTTTTTTTTTTTGAGACGGTGTCTCGCTCTGTCGCCAGGCTGGAGTGCAGTGGCGCAATCTCAGCTCACCACAACCTCTGCCTCCCGGGTTCAATTGATTCTCCTGCCTCAGCCTCCCGAGTAGCTGGGACTACAGGTGCGTGCCACCACACCCAGGTAATTTTTGTATTTTTAGTAGAGATGGGGTTTCACCATGTTGGCCAGCATGGTCTCAATCTCTTGACCTCGTGATCCTCCTGCCTCAGCCTCCCAAAGTGCTGGGATTACACACGTGAGCCACCGCACCTGGCCAAAACCATGTGTGTGTGTGTGTGTGTGTGAGAGACAGGGTCTCACCTGTCACCCAGGTTGGAGTACAGTGACATGACCATAGCTCACTGCAGCCTCAACCTTCCAAGTACCTGGAACTACAGGTGCATACCACTATGCCCAGCTAATTTCCAATTTTTTTATAGAAATGGGGTCTCATTATGTTGACCAGGCTGGTCTCAAACCCCTAGACTCAAGTGATCCTCCTGCCTCAGCCTCCCAAAGTGCTAAGATTACAGGCATGAATCACCACACCTGGTTGGAAAGGACTTCTTGAAAGTAAAGTGAGTTTATCAGATAGATTGTCAGGGCTGGGCACAGTGGTTCATACCTGTAATTTCAGGACTTTGGGAGACTGAGGCAGGAGGATCATTTGAGCTTGGGGAATAGAGGCTGCAGCGAGCCATGATCATGCCAGTACACTCTAGCTTTGGCAATAGAGAGAAACCCTGTCTCAAAAAACAAATAAATAAAAAAGATGGGCAGGAGACCAGAGGAATAGGCAGGAAAGACAACAATACACAGTGCATCTGGAAGGTGGAAGAATTCAGGTCTCAGTGGCATCTCACTAACTTACATTTAGAGGTAGGTATAAGAGTGTTCTGGCTTGTATTAAGCTACTTGGGGGCTCATGAGACTACTTAGGTACAGTATCACTATAAATTCTGTCTGCTTCAGAAAACAAGACACTGGGATATCCTGCAGGTTCTCAGAGGGTTCACAAGAAAGGTCCTCCATATCAGGGACAGCAGCAGTTACTGACTCATGGTGTCTCTATCTCTCCCTACCTGGTATCTTCTTGAAGTCTAAATCTGGATCTAAATTTGGGATGGGGAAAAAAGGGGGAAAAGTGGTAGAAATGCTGCTTTTGCAGCAGAATTGGCAGTTATCTCACCTTCCACCCCAGATTTTAAGAGTTTAAACACAGACCATGCAGCGCACCAAGGGGCTGGTGGTATGGGTGGGGCAAGACACACACATGCAAGAGAAGCAGAAAAGGGCGTGGGGCAACCTCCTTACCCTCCTGAGATGAGTATGACTTCATTCTTTTCCCACATTCTCATTCACAGATGCAGACTATAATATTTTTCTTGCCTGACTTAGTCTCCCTGAAGCCAGAATCACTTGAGAGTGAACAAAATGGCCCTGAACTCCTTGTTCCATGATTATACATCCAGTTGTTAGCCCACAATCAGAAATCAAATGCTATTCAGCATGGCCCATGGTTTAACAGCAGATTTTTCTCTATATCCCATACAGAGCAAGAAGCTCCACAGCCCCAAGAAGCTCATGGCTACTATCTATTGTAGCCCTGATAACATGATTCTTTCGGTTCACTACGTCTTTTTCATGTGAACTAGAAAAATGTGACTGTCTTCCCCGAAATCACAGCTAAAGAAGGGCAGTAGCAGCCTTAAAGTACCATGCAAAAATTAAAACAGTTAAGGAAGAAAGCTGTGGTTACAAGCATGAGAAATCCAGTCTGAGATGAGCAGCACACAGAGAGGAAGAGACAGAAAAGGTTTTTCAACCCATAACTTAAGAGCCCCCTTGGAAGATGTACGTACTTAGCTTCCTCCACTACCTCCACCTCGGCATGAGCTGTGATTGGTGCATTGGAGTGGGCTCCCGTGGGATCATCAACATTCAGCTCTCCATTGGTTGAGCTAACCACCTGAAACAGAAAGACAGAGTGTGTGACAGGCAACATGGCATCAGAAATCTCTTGCCAGCGCCAGAGAGGGTCACTAAACAGGCAGTGTCTGGAATGTTTGTTTTCCTGGGTTAAGGGATCAATTTAGGGAAGGTTCCCAGGCCCATATCATGTGAGAACACTAAAATCAATGATGTAATCATATAATGATGATAATAACTTCCATACATACTGCCTCTACTCTGTGTCTGGCACTCTGCTACACTGTGTGTGTAAATTTAAATCCTAAAAAAATCTTATGAAATAGGTCTTTTGACAGATGGAAACACTAACAAATGACTTAACCAAGGTTTAGAGTTAATATCGGTGAATTTCCATGAGGAAAATTTGTTTTAAACACACAGATTCTTTCATATTGCAAAAACACACACATTACTTTATTAAGTTAAAAATAACTGCATGGCTGACTTCTAAAGGTAAAATCACTTGGCTCCCTTGAATGTGGTGGGTGAAGTCTACTTCTCTCAGTTTATGATGCTATAATTATATAGACTTAGTGATGATGTTGAAAGAAAAAGTTCAAAAAAGGAAGTCAACAGTGGGTACCAGAAACTATAAACAATCACACTTTCCTTCAGAAATTTCCTCATGGCTTTGAGCATTGGTTCGAAGTTACACAAATAACAAGACTGTCACATCCTCTCCGGCAAGAGGGAAGATGGTAAAAAAACAGTCTCCCTTGGAAAGCCAGTCTTATTTCAACGATCTTTATTTCAGGTTCACTGTCATCCCACTTCTCACTGATGGTCCCCAAAATGTAAGTGAAGGCTCTCACTCCTGTCATCTGGTTAATGTGGACCCGATCAGGCTTCTCTTGCATGTGTAGCTGCTTCTGCCACCTGGTTGCATTTCCAGCACATGATTCCTGTTTATGTGGGTGCTGGGAAGTGGGAAAAGGGGCCTCACTGCTGGACAAAACACTCTGCTTGTTAAAGACCTTGGCTGAAACATGGGAGAGAACACAAAATAGGATAAACAATTTGGATATCATACGCCCTTGGATAAGTACTTCCATCTATTTGAGATTGTTTCTTATAGGTTGATGAGAGAATTATACAAGAAAATGTATGAGACTGTCTAGTATAATACCTAGTAGAAATAAGGGAAGCAGCATAGTGTAGAAATTGCCCTCGTGAGCCCTAAGTTTGAACCCCAGCTCCACCACTTATTTGCTGTGGGTCCTTGGGCAAGATCCTCAGTCTATGCCTAAGATTCCTAATCTGTAAAATGGGAGAATAATGCTGCTTACCTAATGGTGTTTACTGTGCAGACAACCCACAGCAAGTGCTTAGCCCAGTGCCATGACACATAGTAACAGCTCAATAAGTGGTCATCTTACTGTTCCTCTCTCTCCGTAACTGTTTATTCTTATCTGCCTCTAGCTCAGGGGTCCTCACCAGCAGTTAATCCACAAAAATTTCCTGAATAGTCATAGAAAGGAGGGTGGGAGGAAATATTTAGTACATGTAGCCTTTCGGACAGATAGGGTGAAAATTACTTACTAGCAATCTATATCCACCATTATTTCTAAACAAGAAATAATTATTGTTCTCATTAATAACACTTTTTTTTTTTTTTTTGAGAGAGAGTCTTGCTGTGCCGCCCAGGCTGGAGTGCATTGGCACGATCTTGGCTCACTGCAACCTCTGCCTCCCAGATTCAAACAGTTCTCCTGCCTCAGTCTCCCAAGTAGGTGAGATTACAGGCATGTGCCACCATGCCTGCTAATTGTTTGTATTTTTTTTTAGTAGAGATGGGGTTTCACGACGTTGGCCAGGCTAGTCTTGAACTCCTGACCTCAGGTTATCCACCCACCTTGGCCTCCCGAAGTGCTGGGATTACAGGCATGAGCCACTGTGCCCAGCCTCCAGCTGAATCTTTATAAAAGACTTTTATTTATTTAAACACAGGGAGACTTAAAGATTAAAGTGTATTGAAAGAGACTAAGACATTGTAAAAGACTGATGAGGCAAACTGCATTAGTTAATGCGAGGCATGAACCTTGATTAAATCCTGGACACTACAATATTAATTCTGGGGACAACTGGAATTAGGTGGAATGTGATATGAAGTGTATCTTAGATATTATGAAATTAACTTTCTTAGAATGTCTTTGTTCTTAGAAGACACAGGCTGTAGTATTTTGGGATAAGATGTAATGATGTCTGCAACTTACTTTCATATGGTTTAGCAAACCAACACAAAACACACACTTTCACTCACAGCTTTTTATATATATATATATATATATATTTTTTTTTTTTTTTTTTTTTTTTTTTTTTTGAGACGGAGTCTCACTTTGTCGCCCAGGCTGGAGTGCAGTGGCACCATCTCGGCTCACTGCAAGCTCCGCCTCCTGGGTTCACGCCATTCTCCTGCCTCAGCCTCCGAGTAGCTGGGACTACAGGCACGCACCACCACGCCCGGCTAATTTTTTGTATTTTTAGTAGAGACGGGGTTTCACCGTGTTAGCCAGGATGGTCTCGATCTCCTGACCTCGTGATCCGCCCGCCTCGGCCTCCCAAAGTGCTGGGATTACAGGTGTGAGCCACCGCGCCTGGCTAACTCACAGATTTAAAGCAAATATGGCAAAATCTTAATTCGTTCAGCGAGGTTAAAGATACACAAGAGTTGATTGCATTTCCTTCCCGATTTCTCTGTAGAGTTGATATTTTCAACACAAAAAGTTGGGGAAAAACCAGCAAAACCAAAAAGTTGAGGAAAGATGGTATATGGATTGGAAAACCACAGCTCCTCACTCTAATGCTATCCTGTTAATTTCCTCAGTGCTTCATTTGCTTCTTGTGGACATATTCTGGTTGCACACCAGTGATAATGCTGGTAAGCTCATTCTGTGAGCACAAGGGTTACAGGAGAAAACATAGTAAGTTTCTAGTGGACAGTTCAGGAACTAGACAAGATGTTAAATAAAATGTCTTGGCTTCTATTCATACGAAGGAAACATTAGTAAGCATCACCACTGAGAATTACCTGGTGACTCTTGGTCATGGGGCCTGCTCACAGCATCTCTCATGGCTTATACTTCCTAATTTCTCCTCGCTACAAATCGCCATTTAGGCCATAAGCACTGTCCTTGGGCAATCTATGGAATAAGAGGTTATCCCCATTTTACAGACTAGACATCCTTCCTGTCTGTATCAATGAGCATCTGGTCTCAAATGAATCAGACATAAACAGAGCTTCCATTCTCTACTTTTAAACTTAATTGTACCAAAAACATAGCTAAGACTTAAAGGCTACACATCTGAGCCTTCACAGCATCCGATTAATTATTTCAGGTTGGAGGTCTGGTTTGTCAAACTACTGAACTGCAGGCAGTGGAACAAATACCATGTAAGTGACAGAAGGGTTGGATTCTAGGCCTTGTTCTACCATTAACATCCTCTGTGAGCCCTGTTTTCTAATTCTATAAGACAAGGCAAATGACCATGATCCTATCAACTTCATAAATATGAAGGGAATTAAATACAATGATGTTTAGAAAACAAATTTAAATAATTATAAAGAAACTTATGAATGTAAAAAATTACTGACCTTTTAAACAATATTAACTTTATGGGGTTTTTTTCTTTTTTTGAGATGGAATCTCACTCTGTCGTCCAGGTTGCAGTGCAGTGGTGTGATCTTGGCTCACTGCAACCACTGCCTCCTGAGCTCAAGCGATTCTCCTGCCTCAGGCTCCTGAGTAGCTGGGACTACAGGCATGCACCACCACGTCTGGCTAATTTTTGTATTTTTTACTAGAGACGGGGTTTCACCATATTGGCCAGGCTGGTCTTGAACTCCTGACCCCAAGTGATCTGGTTGTTATGTTTTTTCTATTAAATTTTTAGTATAACTTCATGGCTGGGTGTGGTGGCTCACGCCTGTAATCCCAGCACTTTGGGAGGCTGAGGCGGGCGGGTCACGAGGTCAGGAGATCGAGATCATCCTGACTAACACGGTGAAACCCCATCTCTACTACAAATACAAAAAATTAGCTGGGCGTGGTGGCGCATGCCTGTAGTCCCAGCCACTCAGGAGGCTGAGGCAGGAGAATGGTGTGAACCCGGGAGGCAGAGCTTGCAGTGAGCAGAGATCACGCCACCGCACTCCAGCCTAGGTGACAGAGCAAGACTTCGTCTCAAAAAATAAATAAATAAATAAACAAACAAGTAAATAAATAAATTTTTAGGATAACTTCATTATAAAAGATAATAAAAAATAAGCTTCATTATAAAAAGCTTTATTTGTGGCTGGGCATGGTGGCTTGCGCCTGTAATCCTAGCACTTTGGGAGGTCAAGACAGGTGGATTGCCTGAGCTCAGGAGTTCAAGACCAGCCTGGACAAGATGGTGAAACCCCATCTCTACTAAAATACAAAAAACCAGCTGGGCATGGTGGCGGGCGCCCGTAATCCCAGCTACTCAGGAGGCTGAGGCACGAGAATTGCTTGAACCTGGGAGGCAGAGGTTATAGTGAGCCAAGATCATGCCACTGAACCCCAGCCTAGACAACAATGCGAAACTCTGTCTCAAAAAAAAAAAAAAAAAAAAAAAGCTTTATTTGCATACCTCAAACAGACATTTATTTTGCTTTAATCACTTAATCGCTCATTACTCTGGCTATACCAAATAAGACCAATTAATATCTTATAGCATTACTCACAAGAAAGACTAAGGTGAAGGACTGTTTTGACATTCAGACCTGGTAATATCCCTTTTAGGAGTCTCAATAATTTGGGTTATTAGTTTCATTTCTCAAAATATCACTGTGAGGAGAAATCAGAGCTGTGTACCAAAGGAAACAGTACTTTAACTCATGTGTCATTCTAAGTCTTAAGTCCTTACTTGGTCCTGAACTTTTCTAAAAACTCCCTAAACATTTTAATTTAGACAACTTTAGATGAATTTTTTGAAAGAGAAAATATATTATCTTCTGGCATTTAGGCCTTCTACACA